GAAAGGTGTGGTCCAGAACTCAAATTCTAGGAAGAAGACCAGACTTAATGGCCTGACTGAGATTGGAGGAACTCTGGAAAGCACGGCCCCTGGATTCTCTATCATCCCAGACCTAAAACAATTTCCGAGGCTAACTCTTCAGACAGGGATTGGACTGGACTGTGGGACATAAAGTGATACTCATGAGGAGTGTGCCTCTTAGCTCAAGTAGATACAAAAGACTAAACGGGGTAGCTTCTGTCCAGGGGTGAGACAGCAAGGCAGAGAGGGTTAGGAGCTGGTTGAACGGACATGGGGAATCAGGGGTGGAAAGTAGGAGTGTGCTGTCACAGTATGGGGAGAGCAATTAGAGTCACATAATAATGTATGTATAAATTTTGTATGGGAGAAAATAAAAAAATAAACCAAAAAATTATTGCCTATGAAGTGTAACTACTTCTCATATAAATTTCCAAATGCCGTTAGGTTTATTCAAGAGATTGCCTGGAGAAGCATGAAGTATAACGTCTATCATTTTATTGTGGGATTATGAACTGCAGTTCACGTGATGCTGCTGGCTATTTATATAAGCTTGTTTATCCATATGAACCTCTTCAAGGGCACAACATAGAAGACCTTAATAAATTAAAGCGAATTTCTTTTGATGTTGTTGTTTCATGAATGTTTGATCAGAATGAGTAGTAGGCTTGCATTTACGAAGTAGAGTAAAGCAATAAAATGTACATACATTGTACAGAGGAACCAGCTTACAGAAATTGCCCATCACATCCCTAGCAACTTTGAGAGTCCAGGTAAATGGTATAAAGTCACTATGGTTACCTCTGACAGATTGTAGCCTGTCACCAATTTCCTAACAGTGAGAGTGTACACATACCAACTTGGATGCTCTGCCATCATCTAGATGGAATTTTTAGAATAATAAAATCTGTTATCTCCTTCCAGGTCCCTAAACATCCATCCAAGTTCCCCACTGTTCTCAGTGTTACCACCATGCTCTTGTACAGACTGCAACACCCAGGAGGGCAGAAGCCATATTTATCTTCTCTGTATTCATCTTAATCCTAATAAGTAGAGAGTTGAGTGGATTGAAGGCCACAAAGTAAAAAATGAATTATGAGTCACAGTCAAAGGTGAAGAGAATTCTCAGTTGGAATATTTATTGATGGTGATACAAATCAAATGTCCTCATTAGAAATATTAAGATGAGGTATAGAGAACACTAGAAAAAAAAGTCAAGAAAACTGGATTCTAGTCTTAGATATGTGAACACTTAACTGTAAAGTCCTTTACACATCACTTCCCTCATCTGTAAAACGTTAAAATTTATATTATCTATAAATCAACATCTCTGAATGGTCATGAATCTAAAAGTAAGCTCGACTATTACATCATAAAAGAATGAGGAAACAATGGAACCATTAGATGTTTCTACTCTAGTAGCCACCACTCCAAGACAGCCCATAAACTCCAAAACCTTTTGGAGAAAACATGGGGGGAAGGGAGAGGAAAGATAATTATGCTAAATTTAACTAAATACAAGTCCAGTCCCTTATCAATTTATTTTAAATTAAATAATAATAATATTTTGTACATATTTGTGAGATTTCTAACCTGTTGAAGGTATCCTTCCACCTTGCATGATCTGGAATAAACACGAAGATAGCCTACTGAATAAAACCTTATGCCTCAAAGTAGTGTGAAAAAATGTATCTAACAGATATTTACTATGATTATATTCACACCTTTAGCTTGAAAAAAATGCTACTACATATCTGGAACATGGACTTCTGTATCAGCAAACTGATTCTTAAGTCAGAACGTTACCAAGGGCTATAAAAGGCCTACTATGAATTTGTCTTGGTTTAATTGTCCTGGGTTACCTTATACTGACATTCAGTCCCTGAGAGGTACCTCTGTTGTATATTCTCCTCAACCTTTTAATGTCATTTTTACACTTGAGAGCAGGAGTCCACAAACCATGGCCTGTGGGTCAAATTTGGTGGCAGCTGCCTGTTTTGTAAATATAGCTTTATTGGAACACAGTCACACTTTAATTTACATATTGTCTATGGCTGATTTTACACTACAATGGCAGAGTTGAGTAACCACAAAAGCTTAACATATTTATTATGTGGCCCTTTACAGAAAATGTTTGCCAACCCATGCTCTAGAGGAAAATAACCTGTTACAGTTAAAATTCAAATTTTCCTCTTCTAACAAGCATATGAAACACAACCCGAGTAAGTAACAATGGCAAAGATATGAACAGATTCACACATGCATATACACATACAGGATCACACCTCTTATGATGAAATTGTAAATAACTGCTTTTGACCCTTTGTTTCAATCTTAATCTCATAAGAGATTACAACCCCTCACTAGTACCCTTTGTTACAGCAGCCAGGAGTACAGAGACTTCTCCAAAGGTAGCTGTCAACATGTAATCACATAACTAAAGAACCCAATTCGTCTCCCCAAAGAGGTTGCCTGCAATGCCCCCCAAATGCATAGCCTTATTCCATGCTCGCCAGGGTCTAGATACAACAGTGGGGCACAAGAAATCATTGACTCCTTAGGTCCTATGCCTTGAATGATACACCTTTAAAGACAGAAAATCAATGCCCAACACTACATATATATCAATAAATATATGCATGCATATTCACACGCTAAAAATACCATAAATTATAAGGAATTTCAGGAATACACAAGAAACTTCTCTTAAGTATCAGAGTAAAAAAGGCTTAATTTTTTAAAATAAATTTTAAAAGTTAACTGTATCAAGGATATGGAGGACAGATACATGTTTATATTTGCAACTTTTAGGCAATCTATACAGAGACTTGAATTATGAATAATGAATTGGTTTTTGTCAGTCAATAAACTTATTAACTCAAAATCATCAACTGTTAAAGCTGTACTGGGCACCCTTCTTTCCTCTGTTTAGTTACTGGAGGCAGAATATACTAGCGCCACATTTTAACAAACATCCCCCTACTCCACCCATCAAGAACATTTTGCATATATTAGCATAAAATAGATTAAACCCAAGAAGTGCTTAAATGTAAGTCATTTCTCTGAAACCTTACATAAAGTGACAGATTATTTAGGCTGACAGACTTTTTGAAAATAAAATAGAAATAGAAGAGGTTTATTTCACCTTCACATGGTGTCTTTCTCATGCAGAGTTCAGACTTCCACGTTTGTATCCCTTTTAAGGATTTGATATGCAGGAAAAGAAGAAAGGATGATGGTAAACATTTCGTTTTACGGATACCTACAGACCGCCATATTCTAGACTGAACAGTGTGGCCTAACGCTTACCTTTTACTGACGTGTTAGGTGGAGGGCCTTCCATTCTCAAGTTCCACGGAGGGTCCCCCTGGTTAGCAAAGTCCCTCATTTTCAGATAGCTAATTGTAAGTCGAATGATGGATGCCTTGTCAAGCTGGCTGGTAATGGCTGCAGGAAGTGGCAACAACTTGGCCAATTCGTAGAACTCAAAATTTTCTTTTCCCCGGCGGGAGCGAGCAGCATCTCGGGATTTCTCCTTTCTCAAGGCTTGTAAACTGAAATCAAGAGTGGAAAGTGTTGTTTAGAAGATGTGATTCTATCGTCAGACAAAAAGTACTTTCTTTTCATTTCCTTTTTTTAAAACAGCAAAGATCTACCAAAATCTTCTTAAAAATTCCAGAGGGATAAAAGGAATTCTAGACAATGTTTATTAAAACTGTAAATTCTCAACCTGGCCTTATATCCCATAAATTCAAGTCCAATGAGTAAAAAATAGTATTTTACTTGTTACGTTTATTTCTCCAGTTGTCAATGCATTGAGATATATTCATTGAATCTAAGACATAAGGTTTATAGGTGATTCTTGGTGCTATCAACTATAAGCAATTTAAAAGATTGGGCTTGTATTAATACATATATTCTCAAGCTAATTGTCTTGTTCATTTAACTTTCATCACTATGGGACCTTAAAATATCAAAAGGATATATTTTAAAAAATTTATTTCAATTTTCACCTTGGGGAATAAAAGTTAAACACAAAAACAAACACAATTCACTTTGACAGAATCAACAAATACAATGTCAATTTATTTCCAGCCCTCAGGAAGGATAATGACCTTCAGTCATATAAAGAAAACATCATATTGAAAATGAAGATTTTAAGGTAACTTTATAATGGTGCTGATAATTGATTGATAAACAGATACTTTAATTCTTTACTAATGGACATTCATTTGCAGATGGGTAGATTCTATAAGATGCTAGAGAATAAAATACATTTCTCAGAAAAGTCAAACTTTAGGATAATATTAATTTAATGTTGAATTATAAAGTCCTGTTGGGTTATTAAAATTTATAAATATTATAGACATATTACTTCACAGAAGAGACAACAGGTGGGATCAGCATTTCCCTTTAACTATTCATGTGCATTTCCGTTTGAAGTTTGCTCACACTGCTGAGGGCAGAATCTGGCAAAACTGAAGTTGTGTGTGCACATCTGACAGGAGAATTCCACCCACACTGAACTGCTCTGTTTTGTGTCTGACCATAAATTCAAAATCGGACACTGATGATAAGTAATTGGGTAATATTTACAGTATCAAGGTACTATTAAAATCATTTATAAGTAGCTATGTTATTGCAGTCTGAAGGCATTTTCAATTTATATCTGGTATTCTTGCTTACATTATAAAATAACAAGAAAGAAAGAAGGAATGAAGGAAGAACAGAATACATCAAAATGAGTTGGACTGTATGGCTCTATTCTGTATTAGTACAATATGCAGAATAATATTCCATATTACATTAGAACATACCGGACATTTTTCAAAGTGGAAACAATGTATTTCGTGAAAATACCCAAAATATCTGACTAAATGTCTATACCATATAAGTAATGCTTTAACACTCTGGTCAGTTACTCATTAGGCTAATAGCAGAACCAATTTCATTTCTACTCTATTAAAAATATTCTTTGTTAGCTAACTAATGTGTTTCTCAGAACCAGTCAAGTTAATGTTAGCATTTTCAGAGTCACAGCAGTCTCAGGTGACAAACCTTTGTCCCTTGATATATCTCAGGTGACAACCTCTGGCAGAAATGTTGCTAATTTACAAGGAAATGATATGTTATGCCACTTATTCCCCAGTATCTTGGCCGGCCTCCATTCAATTCTATAAATGCTAAGGCTTGTTGAAAACTATGTAAATAAAGTGAAAGACATCTTTAAAATCTGACAAAGTATAACCAGGATCCAAGCTAACATCTTAGGATTAGAAAATGATTCACATTCCTCCCTTTATTAAAAAAAAAAAAAAAAAAAAAAAACTAACACCATCTGAGTCAGCTGTGCCAATAAGGCTATGGATTTTGACATGTTTTCTCTACCACTTGTACATAAGGAAAGGTGCAGTGGTTCAAGTTCAATGCTTTGCTTTCTTTGTGTTCTTGTAATTGAACACTACTCCACAAGCTGAACTAAAAGTAGTTTTTTTGTTTGTTTTGGTCCAGTAAGTGACTTTGATGGAGCTTTAGATCATGGGTCACAAACTCAAAGGCCTTCAGGACTCAGGCAGGGGATATCAATGAGTGAGGAGACCTAGTAGAGACTGTGGGCACTACAGCACACCACCCTAGACAAAAGGACAGCGCCACATGCTTTTAGCTTGACTGCAAAGCTTTGGGGAAGGCATGCCTGGTATTGCCAGATCTTTTGCTGTTTCTAGAGAACAAAATCTGAATTTTTATGTAACATTTCCCAATTTTAATATGTTTACTACGTAAATGTTCTTTAATTGAGCAAGTCAAATAAAACATGTCTTCTGTTCAAAAATGGATCAAGGACTCATTTTACAACCGAGTAATAATTTGGGAGGCCAATTTTAAAGGTAGTTTTACAGGGATGTTACATGTAGCATTTGTTTAGACATGTCACTCAAATGATCACAAATGCACTCATTTGTTAACTAATTAATATTTCAATTATTATTTTCAACTAAAGCAAAGTAGTGGGTTAGGCAATTATTCTGAAATTGATATCAGTGGATAGGCTTTTTAATAATCTAAGTAAAATATTCACGCTTGTTGGGAGGCAAAACCACGATCACAGGGAGGAACCCACTAGTCTTCAAAGGCTAAATAGTGGCGGGTGGCTTGCCTATATCTACTCAGGAAAGGGGAGTAAGTGGACATGCATGCCTTTGGAATTCTTGCCTAAAGACAGTCCTCTGACCCTTTACCTACTTTTCCGAAATAGTACAGGGCAAGATGACTAGAGTAATCTTGGCCATAATCTTAATAACAAAGAGTTTCCATGACTCCCACATCACATCACTATTCAGGCACCATAGGTTCAGAAGACTTTCAGAATGACAGCACTGTGTCCGTAATAAGTAGTAATTGGTTTTGAGGGCTACAGCAATAAAATACAGTCAATGGATTATAAACGTTGTTGAGATGCTGATATAATAGATGAAGCTAAAGACCTGAAGACAATGGCACAGCTTGTGGATTAATCTTTTGCCTGTTTTTATGAAGTGGAGCATTTATAAGCAGTTCTAAAATTGAATTAAGGGCTACATTAAAACCTAAAATAAACTTTGTATTTGTTCATTTTGTTTTACACGAAAAAATTGTGGTTGCATTTCTGGAATATTAAAGAAGAAATGAATTGCTTGTACATGAATAAAATGTTATGGTGCTGATCTCTGCTATCTAAAATATGATTAAACTTCAGATCCACAATGACTTAGTTCCTGAGCCTAAACTTCCCACAGCCCTAATGTTCTTCCACTTAGACTCTGGATAGCTGGAAAAAGAGATTTTTCAGTAATCCTCAGTCAAAACTTACAGCTCTCTTTGATGACTACATTATCATCATTACCAATAATTACTCCCACCAGCAACAAAAACAATAACAATTAATAAAATCAATAAGCCATTTCAAAAGATCCACATATATACATAATTCTCTGGAAATCTTATGTAAAATTGCATGAAAACATGTATATTTATGGGAGACAATACATGATTTTTGGATTCTCAAAAGATGTCTATAACGCCAACCAAAAAAGTAATAATCTAACGTCTGTCTAGAATTTCCTCTTATAAGGTTTATAAAGTCGGATTCCACTATCTTTTTGTCATTGGTGTTGCTAGAATTAACTTATCCTAAACACGTATCCCTGTCTTAAATAACATTATTGAATGTATGTTTCTACTCAACACTGAAACAATTCTCACAAGTTTCTAAAGTTTTACCTTTAAGTATAGATAGCAGTCATTCTCCGTCCAAAACATGACTTGTAATAAAGGTTTAAAGGACAGTGCTTTGTTGAATATTAAATGATTTCTTTTGATTCTCTCTTATGTCGTTTGACAATCTGTGAATTTTGTGGAAAAAGTCTTGGTGAAGGGTTTGCAGACCCACACTGGCCATTTGCAGATTTTGTGAACCTAAGTCACCAACCGGAACCTCAGTTTTATCATTTATAATTTGAGGATGACAAACAATGCTTATCTTGCAAATCTTATGGACCAATGCAAATGGCCCATATGATAATTTCTACGGTATGTTGTAAACTAAGAAGCAGTAAGTTCCTTGGACAAGTCTAGATTTTAACAACTAAGACAGTTTGTAAACTCTAAATGAAGTAGAATTTTTAAAAGTTTTTAATTCAGAAGAATTTTAAGAAGTTGGAAAGATTTTGGAATGCCCATAATATGATTAATCTATCCTTAAACTTCTTGAAAGCAGAGGGGCTAGGAGTATGGACTTTGGAGCCGGACTGTGGGTATTCACATCCTCCCATAGCCACTTACTAGCTGGGCAACCTTGAGTAGGTTTGTCAACTTCTTTAGGACACAGTTTCCTTATTTGTAAAACATGCATTATAATAGTACCTACTTCATAACATTGTTGAAAGGATTAATTGAGCTAGTATATGTAATGTGCTTAAATGCCTATCATATTGTAAACATCATATAAGCATTAAGTATTACTATTATCATTGTAAAACGTATCCAAGAAAAAAGTCCAATGGTTTTTACCCTAATATCATTTATGATAACCACCCTATTTCTCCATAATTCTTTATAACTATGTTTCTTTATTCAAAACTTCCTTTATAGCACCTTTTTTTTTTAACTCTAGTTACAGATTCTACAGTTCTAACACCTGCTTGTTTCCTTCACTGTTCTGTCAAACTCCTCTCCTTCCTACCACTATGAACTTCATGTTGTTGTTGTTGTGTCCATCAAGTCGATTCTGACTCACAGCAACCTTATATGATAGAACTGCCCATTGGCTTTCCTAGACTGTAATCTTTACAGGAGCAGATTGTCAGGTCTTATCTCCTGCGGAGGCACTGGTGGTTCAAACCACTGACCTTTTGGTTAGCAGCCGAGTACTTAACTGCTGCACCACCAGGGCTCCTTGCCGTTCACTTTAGTACATTTAAATTCCAGTGTGGCGATAGCAGAAATTGAACCAAGGGAAAAAACAGGAAAGATGTAACTTATGCTCGGGGACAACTCTGAAATTGCTTATTTATTA